CTCACTATGTAGTTTAGACTGCCTTGAACTCATAGCAACCCAATATCGGGTTGCAGCCACACAATCACAGGCATGCACCACAACACCAGGCTTAAAAATGATTACTTTCTGGGGGCTGGGGAGATAGCCAGTAGGGCAAGTGCTTGCCTGGCAAGCGCAAGGTCCTGAGTTCAATCCCCAGTAACACACACACACACACACACACACACACACACACACAAAAGAAAGATTACTTTCTGCTCATGTTCCATGGATTTCAGATATCAATCTACTTATCTGCACACAAGCTCCTGATTAAGGGACCACAGTATGTGGGTCTAATCCAGTGGTGGTGAACCCACAGCTTGAGTAAAACAGCAGACTGCATCTAAAACCTCTAAAAAGTTTGGCAGCACTATATTCCCAAGTCCAATGCTGGGGCTGATTCATGCCAGAGACAGTACTACCTTGGGACTTCCTTAATATAGCGATCATAGGCAATGGTGTTCTTCCCATAGTTGATCTGCTTCTGTCTTCTCATGAGGACACTTTCATCTGTCTCCACGTCAGCAGGCATCCCACACGTAGACTCCTTTGAATCAGAACTGAAAAAACAAGGAAAAGGACCTCAAAAGTGTGATCGCCAAAACAAATTAAACTCACATATAAGCTATGACAAGAAAATGCTCATTCAAGCTCTGGATCCCAATCCTATTACTCCCACAGAAGTCTAGAATCTTTATATATATGAAATTCTAGTACACAGTAAATACAATTATTTCAAACCAGTAAATACTATTAGAACAATCAGCATTTCTCAGTTGCAATTTTTTTCATTCACAAATTATAAAAAGGGACCGGGGAGATGGCTCAGTGGAATAAGTGCTTCCCTGGCAAGCGCAAGGACCTGAGTTCAATCCCCAGTTCCGCCAAAAAACAAAAAAAAGAAATGTTTAGTTGGACTTGGTGCATACCTGTAATCCCAGAGCTCTGGAGGCTGAGGCAGGGCAACTAACTGCCATGTTTAAGGTCAGCCTGAATTACGTAGTGAGTTAAAAACCAGCCTAAACTCCACAGAAAAACCCTATCTCAAAAAAAAAAAAAAAAAGTTTACACAACACGTACCTTCCTGACGAAGACTTTCTCTCTCTTCCAAAGTCATTTATGAGGAGTTTCCTTTTATACCTGAGAACAATATTGCTGGTTTTATAAAAGTGTGAAAAATAACCATGAACACACCTACAGCTACTAGAGCTAACAGTTACCAGGAACGAAACCTTCCTATTCAGTGGGTTTGGGGCTACAAGGACATTATTTAGTTTTATTACTTATTTGGTACTTGGACTGAACCCAGGAATGATCCTTGCACATCTTTTGCTTCAGCCTTGTGAGTAGTTGGGATCAGAAGTGTAAACAATCGTGCCCGCTATTTCTTTTCTGAGATAGCCTTCTGAGTGCTAGGATTACAGGTAATTACAAGCATGAGCCATCACATCTAGCTATCACTTTTTTCACTTTCAACCTCCCTCAGTTACATCATTTCATAAAATACAATTCATCTGTCAGGATATACAACATCTTATAGTCAGTTGAGAAAACTGCCTCGATACCCTCAGGCATACCATCCTACCACCTAAAGTATCCCTAAACCAAAAGAAAATTTGAGCAGTACAATTAGTCAGGTCTAAATTTCACTGGCAAGAAGACAGGACAGGCCTGCAAGGCAGGCCCACAGTTAGGACACTTTTCTTGTCAGAATAAACCAGAATCCAGTTGGATCTGCTGGGCACTCAGCTTAAATTTCCTTGGTTTAATATACATTTCAACTAATTATGAGCCATGCTTTAATTCAGGCAAGTTAAACAGAAGACCCAATGCTATTATGGGCTACTGGACTCTTTTAGAATATTTTGCTGAGTTTACACACCTATAATATTCAATAAT